CACAACATCTTTGTTGGTATGAGGTGCTGAGGATTGAACCCGGGCCGCACGCATGCCAGGTGAGCGTGCTACCGCTTGAGCCACATCCCCAGCCCACAATACCTTTATCTTATTTATTTATATGTGGTTCTGAGGATCAAAACCAGGGCCTTGCATGTGCTAGGCAAGCGCTCTACTGCTGAGCCAAAACCCTAGCCCCACAACTGATTTTTATATATTGATATTTTTATAATTGATACTGTAATTTTGATAAACTGACTCATATCAGTAACTTTTCTATACTACTCAGGATTTTCTCTGTACATGATCATGCCATTTGCAAATAATTTATAGTTTTACTTTTTCCTTTCCAAATTGTATGCTTTATTAACATTATTATATCACACTGGCTAGGATCAGTACAATCTTAAACAGATGTGGTAAGAGCAGACACTTCTTGGGGGAGGGGTATGGCTCAGTGGTAGAGCGCTTGCTTGGCATGTATGAAGCACTGGGTTCAATTCTCAGCATCACATATAAATAAATGAAATAAAGATCAATTGACAACTAAAAAATATTTTTAAAAAAAGAGAGAGAGAGAGAGAGAGAGAGAGACACTTCTTGTCTCATTCCCAATCTTAGAAGAAAGGCACTCAATTTATTAAGTCTGAAATTGGCAGTATGTTTTATATGAAGTCATATATCAGGTTGAGGGAGTTCTTTACTTTGCCTACTTTTCTGAAGGTATTTTGTTTTTAGATCAAGAATAAATGTTGGAATTTGTCAAATGCTTTTCCTGCTTCCACTGGTGATCATTTGTATTTTTTCTTTTTCAGTTGTTAATATGTAAATTCTACTAATTAATTTTACTTTTTTTCTTTTCATTTTATTTATCCCCCCACCCTGACTCCTCAAACTGGGGATTAAACCCAAGGACACTTTACCATATCCCCACACACTTTTTTTTTTTTTTTCTACTGGGGAGTGAACCCAAGGGCCCTTATCCAGTGAGCCATATCCTCAGCCCTTTTTTGTTTTTTAATTAGAGACAGGGTCTCACTGAGTTACTTAGGGCCTCACTAAATTGCTGAGGCTGGCTTTGAACTCATGTACCAAGCCGCTGGGGTTACAGGCCTGCGCCACCACACCTGCCCCCTCTTTTTTTTTTTTGAGACAGGATCTCACTAAATTGCTTAGGTCCTCACTAAATTGCTGAGGCTGGCCTCAAACTTGTAATCCTCCCTCCTCAGCCTCCCAAGAGAGTGGGAGATTACAGATGTGTGCCACCCCACTGGGCCTATTAATTGATTTTCGAAGGTTACTTCAACCTGGTATTTGTAAGTGAACCCTACTTGGTTATGAAGCATTATCCTTTTATGTATGACTGGACTTACTTTGCTGGCATTTTGATCAAAAATTTTGCATTTATGCTCATGAAGGATATTGACCTGTAGTTTTCTCTTCCTGGAATGACTTTGTCTGGTTTTAGTAACTAGGCATAATGCTGGCCTCACAGAATAAGTCGTAAAGTATTCCTTTCTTTTCAATTTTCTGGAAGAGTTTATATAAATTTGGTGTTATTTCTTCCTTAACTGTTTGGTAGAATTTACCAGGGAAGGCATCTGGGCCTGGAGTTTTCTTTGTGGGAAGGTTTTTTTGTTGTTGTTTTATATCTTTATCTTATTTATTTATGCGGTGCTGAGGATCAAACCCAGTGCCTCATACACACAAGACAAGCACTCCACCGCTGAGCCACAACCCCAGCCCACTGTGGCAAGGTTTTCAACTATAAATTCCATTATCTGTTCTTCTCTGATGCTCTCTCACTTTTGCTAGAGCCTTCAGTCTTTCACTCACACCCGTTTAGGTTCTCCCTGTGGCTGACAAGACCTGCCTGGTCTGCTCCTGCCCTTCCCTCTAACTCATCTCTGCCACCTTCTTCCACTCACAAGTTCCAGTCACATGTGACTTCTGGTTATTCCTAAATTAGGCCTAACTCTTCCCCACCTCAGGCCCTTGGCGCTGCCTTTTACTCTGCCTGGACGCTATCCCAGTTCTCTGCACGGTCATTTCTCATTCTCAGTGCCCATGTCTCTTCTATGTCATGGTCTTCTTTGACCATTATTCCAAGGTAGGAATAATGCTTCATGACCCTACTTGGTCCATTTATGTATGACTGGACTTACTTTGCTGGCATTTTGACCCAGGGTAGAGTCAGCTGTATATGGTCTCCCACAGAATCCCATTTACTTCCTTCATAACATAAAACACATAAATCCCACTCCACCATTATTGTTTACTTATTGTCAGTTTCCGAAAAGCAGGACTCTTGTCTGTCTTGTTCGTGGCTATATCCTCTACATCCAGCACAAGACTTGGCACAAACAAGGTGAGGCACTGAATGACTGTTTGTTGAATATTAGACTATATTAATGGGTCAGCCTGTTGGGCAAGCAGGAGCACGTCAGGGAAGCAGTGATTCCTCTGGGAGCCTCTCGATCAGTCTGAGGTTTTAGGTCATCCTGGAGCCGGTCAGGAAACCATTGAGTGGGTCAGTTGCTCTGTGGAGTGGATCTGTGTGACTGATAAGCCCCTGTGAGGTCAACCCAGGATTCTAGGGGACACAAAGTAGCAAAAGACACCCCGGTCTTCCCTTAGGAAGCTTTTGGCCCACCTCTCTACCTGCTCCTCGTTTCCTGTCCAGCAGATGAAGTCGGGTGGTATAAAGGAAGGGGGGAGGCATTGAGGCTGTCCCAATCCCTGGCAGCTGCTAACTGCCATGGGGTTTTCAATCCCATAAAAGTATCACCTGCAGCTTAGTCTCAGGAAGAAACTGTGGAGGAGGCACAGAGAGGGCTTTGTAGCTCTTTCCCCACCCCACCTCCCAGCTTCCCCTGACCTGGCCTCTCTGCTCATGGAAACTCCCCCACTGGACCTGGCTGCCTGGTTCCCAGGAGACAGGCTATAGTACACGTTGCCACTGTCCACTTTCCACATGAGCCTGTACCTCTAGGGGCCATTCCTTGCAACCAACCCCACTCTGAGTGCCCCCTCCATAGGCTGAGGGAGGTCCTGCTCTCTGGATGAGGTAGAGGCCTTGCATGGAAGCTGGAGCCTGGGGCAGTTAATCCCAGGTTTCCCCAGGAACACCTATGCTGTGGGGTCATGGATGTGACTGGAGTCCCATCACAGAGTATGTGGAGGAGGTGTCAGAGCTGCTTGTAGGGGAATCAGCTGTTTGCAATAACTGGGCAGCAGCACTATGCTGCCAGCAATCTCTGTCCTACTCAGTGAGAAACTCCATGACCAGGAGGCCCACTTATGGTGACATCATCCCCCCACCGCCCTTGCACTGGTGAGGGAAATGAGCTCAGGACAGCCATCGGAGGTGGCCTGTTTACTTTCAGAGACCCTGGCCGTCAGCAGCTCTTTGACCAGACATTCCCTGTCCTGGCCAGCATGAAGCAGAAATTTCCTTAAACACATTACTTTGGCTACAACCCACCAATTGCTCCCTTGCTTTCAATTTTTTTTTTCAGTCGGAAAATTCCCAGTTCTGTCCCAAACACAGCAGCCCAGAGATGGTAAGGAAAGGTCACAAAGACCCCCAGAAAGCCTTTTATAGCTCAAGGTAATCCTACTTCCCTGGTAATCTCTGGAGGTGGGAGACCGCTAAACCCGTTTTCAGTCCTTCACGAGTGTGGGGTCAGAGAGATGGCCAGCATGACCTCTAGGGCAGACCCTCTTCCTGCCTCTCCTACGGCCTCTGCCACCCCGAGCTCAGTTTCTGAGCATTTCCCAATTCAGCAACCCTGGCTGCACCTTAGACCCCTCCTTCATTCCCTCCGGGTCAGGGATATTTCAGGAGAGCAGAAGAGCTGCCAATTTTAACAAGCTCCAGGGGATTCCCAAGACGGTTACCCCCATCAACCCTGGCTGAGAGGTGCTATCTCCTGCCCTACCCAAACTGTGCTGTCCCTGCTGGAACTCATTCTAGAGGCCTTGAAGGGGCAGGAGTGATGGGGGAAGGGGGTCTCCTCTTTCTCCCTGGTGCTGCAGGATCCTAAGGCCACCTATGCTAAGAGTAGAGCAATGGCCTCCCAGGAGTATCAATCATGGGGGACAGCTGCCCTGGCTGGATCTGCCCACTACTGGGCTGGGCAGGCAGGCACAGACATGCCGAGAGTCTAAGGCCTTACCTGACCCAGCTCCACCCTGTGGCCTGATTCTACTTAGCTCAGCATCCTTTAGCACTGTGGAGTGTCTCAGGGGCAGAATTCAGAATGGAAGCAGGCATTGAACCTGTTCCATAGTTCTTGTGTATATCCAAGACTGAGGTGTCAAGGGTTCACATCAGAGAACAGGTTGGAAGGGTAGAGAAAACAGCTCACACACAGATTTACATCAGTGGCTACTTAGAAGGCATTGAAAAATGGGCCAGATTCTCTCCAACTGTCCCCTCTGCCCCCAACCACAATAGGCCAGAACTCCTTAAACATGCAGTTTAAATGAATTTGATCAGTCAACATTTCTACTAAACCTAGAGTTGGTAATGAACAAAGAAAGGAAAAGACTCTAGAAAAGAACAGAAACTAATATTTATTGAACATCTACTATGTTCAGCACTTTACACATTATTTCTCACAACAATCAAGAGAGAAGTAACTCTAAAGGGCATCATGGCAGAACTGGAATGAAAACCCAGTGCTTGGGCTGGGGATGTGGCTCAAGCGGTAGCGTGCTCGCCTGGCATGCCTGTGGCCCGGGTTTGATCCTCAGCACCACATACAAACAAAGATGTTGCGTCCGCTGAAAACTAAAAAATAAATATTAAAAAATTCTCTCTCTCTCTCTTTGA